ACATATTCAACTGGCTCTGCGCCACAGTCTGTAGCTATTGGTGATTTTAATAACGACAGCCGACCGGATATCATCGTTGCTAATTTCAATGACAACAATGTAAGTGTACTACTTCGGTATGATAGAGGAGCTCTGAAAGACGAAATCACATTTGCATCTGCCAATGGTTCTCGTTTACAAAGCTTTGCTGTTTTTGATTTCAATAACGATAGCCTACTAGATATCGCTGTTGTCAATTATGGTACTAATAACATAGGTATTCTTCTTGGACATGGGACTGGCACTTTTGAAAACCAAATGATGTTTTCAACGGGCTTAAATTCTCATCCTTACTCAATGGCTATCCATGATTTCAATAAAGACGGTCAAGCGGATATAGCTGTGGCCAATTATGGTACTAAAAATCTTGTTACATTTATGGGAAGTGGGAATAGAACATTTGAAAATCAAGGACGTTACGGTATAAATTTTGATTTTGCTCCACTGATGATTGGTGCTGGTAGTTTCAACAAAGATGGGAGTTCAGAAATTTTCGTTGCATATGATGGCATCGATTATGTAGATATGCTGGTTACATACGACATCGGATCTTTCAGTAATCACATTGAGTATTCAACTGGCAATTGGCTCCAATTTGTAGCTCTTGGCGATTTTAATAACGACACCCAACTGGATATCGTCATCGCTAATGACGGCGACAACACTGTAAGCGTACTTCTCGGATATGGAAATGGTTCTTTCACTAATCAAAAGACATACTCAACTGGCTCTCAGCCATGGTCTGTAGCTGTTGGCGATTTTAATAACGACACCAATCTGGATATCGTCGTCGCTAATCTTCATGGCAGCACTGTAAGTGTACTTATCGGATATGGCAATGGCTCTTTTGCAAATCAAACGACATATTCAACTGGCTCTGGCCCAATTTCTGTAGCTGTTGGTGATTTTAACAACGACACCAATCTGGATATCGTCGTTGGTAATTGGGGTGACAACACTGTAAGCATCCTTCTTGGATATGCCGATGGCTCGTTTGCAAATCAGACGACATATTCAACTGGTTCTGAACCATACTCTGTGGCTGTTGGTGATTTTAACAACGACACCAATCTGGATATCGTTGTTGCTAACTCTGGTGACAACACTGTAAGCATCCTTCTTGGATATGGCAATGGCTCCTTTGCAAATCAAACGAAATATTCAACTGGCTCTGGCCCAATTTCTGTAGCTGTTGGTGATTTTAACAACGACACCCATCTGGATCTCGTCGTCGCTAATGGTGATGACAACACTATAAGTGTACTTATCGGATATGGCAATGGCTCTTTTGCGAATCAAACGAAATATTCAATAGGCTCTGGGCCAAGTTCTGTAGCTATTGATGATTTTAATAATGACAACCGACTGGATATCGTCGTCACTAATTGGAATGACAACACTATGAGTGTCCTTCTTGGATATGGCAATGGTGTTTTTGCAAATCAAATGATCTATTCAACTGGCACTAGTCCTTCATCTGTAGCTGTTGGCGATTTCAATAATGACACCCGATTGGATATCGTCGTCACTAACCTGAATGAAGAGAGTATCAGTATATATCTGGGATATCCTAATGAAGGGTTTTTTAAGCAAATGAGACTCATAACTGGCAATGGATCTCGCCCTAAGTCATTCGCCATTGGAGATTTTAACAATGACAGTCAAATGGATATAGCAGTGGCGAATTCAGGCAATAGCAACGTCGGTATTTTCCTAAGATATGACAATGGTTCTTTCGGAAATCAAATGGCATATGCAACTGATTCCTCTCCGTGGTCAGTAGCCGTTGGTGATTTCAACAACGATACCATACTTGATATTGTCGTCGCGAATCTTGGCAGTGACAATGTTGGTATATTTCTTGGATGGGGTGATGGCTCGTTTTCAAACCAGAAAACGTTCACAACCGGTTTTAGCTCTCAACCAAACGCGGTTGCTGTTGGCGATTTCAACAATGACACCTTGCTAGACATTATTGTTGCTAAGTATGGCACAAACAACATAGGTGTGTTGCTTGGTTATGGGAATGGCTTCTTCACAAGTGCCAAGCTTTTTTCGACCGGTTATGGATCTCTTCCGTTCTCGGTTTCTGTTGATGATTTAGACAACGATGGAAAATTGGATTTCGTCGTCGCCAACGAAGGTGCTGACAATTTAAACATTTTTTTACAGACCTGTTAATATTGCCACCGCTGCCTTAAACTTTTTTTTCATTGATTCATTATTCCTAACTTCTACTTAGCGCTACTAATATTTCTTCTAACTATTTTTGTGTGTGAGTATATGTTGAGAATTGAAATATTTTACATGAAGATAAGAAATATCAAGTGAAGCTATGACAATACGTCTACATTTGACAAAGAATCTCGTCAGATGTATGACATGAATATGCCAAGCACACGGTGATGTGTTTCGCTCTTGCTTAATGCTATCATCATAAGATTAGACAA